GGCCCCTCGAAAAGGGACCGCATGGCCCGTAGCAAAGGGACCGCATGGCCCCCAGCAAAGGGACCGCATGGCCCCTAGAAAAGGGACCACATGGCCCGTAGCAAAGGGACCGCATGGCCCCCAGCAAAGGGACCACATGGCCCGTAGCAAAGGGACCACATGGCCCCGGCAAAGGGACCGCATGGCCCCTAGAAAAGGGACTGCATGGCCCCTAGCAAAGGGACCGCATGGCCCCTAGAAAAGGGACCGCATGGCCCCTAGCAAAGGGACCGCATGGCCCCTAGAAAAGGGACTGCATGGCCCCCAGCAAAGGGACCGCATGGCCCCTAGAAAAGGGAATGCATGGCCCCTAGCAAAGGGACCACATGGCCCGTAGCAAAGGGACCGCATGGCGCCCAGCAAATGGGCCGCATGGCCCCTAGAAAAGGGACCGCATGGCCCCTAGCAAAGGGACCGCATGGCCCCCAGCAAAGGGACCGCATGGCCCGTAGCAAAGGGACAGCATGGCTCCTAGAAAAGGGACTGCATGGCCCCTAGCAAAGGGACCACATGGCCCCTAGCAAAGAGACCGCATGGCCCCCAGCAAATGGACCGCATGGCCCCTAGCAAAGGGACCGCATGGCCCCTAGCAAAGGGACCACATGGCCCCTAGCAAAGGGACTGCATGGCCCCTAGCAAAGGGACCACATGGCCCCTAGAAAAGGGACTGCATGGCCCGTAGCAAAGGGACTGCATGGCCCCTAGCAAAGGGACCACATGGCCCCTAGAAAAGGGACCGCATGGCCCGTAGCAAAGGGACTGCATGGCCCCTAGAAAAGGGACCGCATGGCCCGTAGCAAAGGGACTGCATGGCCCCTAGAAAAGGGACCGCATGGCCCCTAGAAAAGGGACTGCATGGCCCCTAGAAAAGGGACTGCATGGCCCCTAGAAAAAGGACTGCATGGTCCCCAGCAAAGGGACCGCATGGCCCCTAGAAAAGGGACTGCATGGTCCCCAGCAAAGGGAACGCATGGCCCCTAGAAAAGGGACCGCATGGCCCGTAGAAAAGGGACTGCATGGCCCGTAGCAAAGGGACCGCATGGCCCCTAGAAAAGGGACTGCATGGCCCCTAGCAAAGGGACCGCATGGCCCCTAGAAAAGGGACTGCATGGCCCGTAGCAAAGGGACTGTATGGCCCCTAGAAAAGGGACTGCATGGCCCCTAGCAAAGGGACCACATGGCCCCCAGCAAAGGGACCGCATGGCCCCTAGCAAAGGGACTGCATGGCCCCTAGCAAAGGGACCACATGGCCCCTAGAAAAAGGACTGCATGGCCCGTAGCAAAGGGACTGCATGGCCCCTAGAAAAGGGACTGCATGGCCCGTAGAAAAGGGACCGCATGGCCCGTAGCAAAGGGACCGCATGGCCCCTAGAAAAAGGAATGCATGGCCCCTAGCAAAGGGACCGCATGGCCCCTAGAAAAGGGGCTGCATGACCCGTAGCAAAGGGACTGCATGGCCCCTAGAAAAGGGACTGCATGGCCCCTAGCAAAATGACCGCATGGCCCCTAGAAAAGGGACTGCATGGCCCGTAGCAAAGGGACTGCATGGCCCCTAGAAAAGGGACCGCATGGCCCCTAGAAAAGGGACTGCATGGCCCCTAGCAAAGGGACCGCATGGCCCGTAGCAAAGGGACTGCATGGCCCCTACCAAAGGGACCGCATGGCCCCCAGCAAAGGGACCGCATGGCCCCTAGCAAAGGGACCGCATGGCCCGTAGCAAAGGGACCGCATGGCCCCTAGAAAAGGGACCGCATGGCCCGTAGCAAAGGGACTGCATGGCCCCTAGAAAAGGGACTGCATGGCCCCTAGCAAAGGGACCGCATGGCCCGTAGCAAAGGGACTGCATGGCCCCTAGAAAAGGGACTGCATGGCCCCTAGCAAAGGGACCGCATGGCCCGTAGCAAAGGGACTGCATGGCCCCTAGCAAAGGCACCGCATGGCCCGTAGCAAAGGGACCGCATGGCCCCTAGCAAAGGGACCGCATGGCCCATAGCAAAGGGACCACATGGCCCCTAGAAAAGGGACTGCATGGCCCGTAGCAAAGGGACTGCATGGCCCCTAGAAAAGGGACTGCATGGCCCCTAGCAATGGGACCGCATGGCCCATAGCAAAGGGACTGCATGGCCCCTAGAAAAGGGACTGCATGGCCCGTAGCAAAGGGACTGCATGGCCCCTGGAAAAGGGACTGCATGGCCACTAGCAAAGGGACCGCATCGCCCGTAGCAAAGGGACTGCATGGCCCCTAGCAAAGGCACCGCATGGCCCGTAGCAAAGGGACCGCATGGCCCCCAGCAAAGGGACCGCATGGCCCATAGCAAAGGGACCGCATGGCCCCTAGCAAAGGGACCGCATGGCCCCTAGCAAAGGGACTGCATGGCCCGTAGCAAAGGGACTGCATGGCACCTAGAAAAGGGACTGCATGGCCCCTAGCAAAGGGACCGCATGGCCCGTAGCAAAGGGACCACATGGCCCCTAGAAAAGGGACTGCATGGCCCGTAGCAAAGGGACTGCATGGCCCCTAGCAAAGGGACCGCATGGCCCGTAGCAAAGGGACTGCATGGCCCCTAGAAAAGGGACTGCATGGCCCGTAGCAAAGGGACTGCATGGCCCCTGGAAAAGGGACTGCATGGCCCCTAGCAAAGGGACCGCATCACCCGTAGCAAAGGGACTGCATGGCCCCTAGCAAAGGCACCGCATGGCCCGTAGCAAAGGGACAGCATGGCCCCCAGCAAAGGGACCGCATGGCCCATAGCAAAGGGACCGCATGGCCCCTAGCAAAGGGACCGCATGGCCCATAGCAAAGGGACCGCATGGCCCCTAGCAAAGGGACCGCATGGCCCCCAGCAAAGGGACCACATGGCCCCTAGCAAAGGGACCGCATGGCCCCCAGCAAAGGGACTGCATGGCCCCTAGAAAAGGGACCGCATGGCCCGTAGCAAAGGGACTGCATGGCCCCCAGCAAAGGGACCGCATGGCCCATAGCAAAGGGACCGCATGGCCCGTAGCAAAGGGACCGCATGGCCCCCAGCAAAGGGACCGCATGGCCCATAGCAAAGGGACCGCATGGCCCCTAGCAAAGGGACCGCATGGCCCCCAGCAAAGGGACCGCATGGCCCCTAGCAAAGGGACTGCATGGCCCCCAGCAAAGGGACTGCATGGCCCCTAGAAAAGGGACCGCATGGCCCCTAGAAAAGGGACCGCATGGCCCCCAGCAAAGGGACTCTTGATTCCATACTCCTGAAGCGACCTCCACAGGGCACCACCAGGGACGATGTTGAATTGTCCAGGTCCCCTAATCACATGTGGACGGGTTGGACTAACTCCCATGAAACCTGGAGCTCCCTGCAGAGAGTGAAGAAGTGGCCCAAACTACATTGCTGCCCCTGGAGGTTCAACAATCAGCCGGACTCTCCAGCTCCCTGGCATAGGCATGGCTGGAGAAGATAGTTGGAACACACCCTGGGGTCCCTTCTTATGGAGTGGAACCACCACCCCAGTCTGCCAGACCTGGGCCACTGCCCCCCACTCCACGTGATGCTAAGGAGGCGTGTCCTCCATGACAGGCTGAACACATCCAGAGCTCTATGGTAGTCAGAGAGGATCTGTCCACCGCATGAAACCACCCGCTGACTTTTGTGACGACCTCAGTGACTCCAGTCTGGGAGAGGGATGAATCTGGCCCCGAGGTCCCTGGCTTTTTTTGTCTGCTGGGTTGATTAGACCCTTAAAGTTCTCCTTCCAATGTCCTCCCAGTAAAACCAGTGTGTCTCCAGAGGCGCCGGACAAAAGGCCAGTCTTTCTCCGTGGTCTCTCTAAACTCTGCCTCTGTCCTCTGCGCTTGCCCAGCCAGCGGGATGCTGGGCCCCATGATGCCTGCTTGTCATCTCAGGAGTCCCTTAATAGGACAGTTTTTTCCCACCTGGACAGCTTTCAGTCTCTGCTGGTGTCCACCGTCTGACAACGTCAGACTTTACAGCCGCAGCTACGGCCAGCCGGCCTGGTGGTTGGGTTCTTCCTTGTGGCACCCTGTCGGGGTGAGCCCCCCCCCCCCACCCGCATAATGCTGGAGAGTATTGGTGTGAGCAAAGATCACTACTGCCTTTGAAGACCTTCTGTCAATGATAAGTACAAATGGTGAACCTGACGGTTCGTTTAAGAAGTTATTAACACATTTAGATAGCAATAAGCAGTGTTGGGCAAGTTACTTTGAAAAATTAGTTACTAGTTACTTCTCCCAAAAAGTAACTGAGTTACTAACTGAGTTACTCCACAATAAGAGTAACTATTGCGTTACTTTTGCGTTTCTCGCCCCCGTAACCCTCCCCACCCAGCCCCCACCTTCTAGCCGTGTGTTTCCAAAGCCAGCTGAATAGAGCGGACGACAAAGACAAGAACCTGCAGAGAGTTTAGCATTTATTGCAACTCAACGTAAATTACATCGGGGGGGAACGCTATCTGACGGACCTATAAACCCTGTCAGATAGCGTTCCCCCTGCTTAACATGGGGGGAACGCTCTCTGATGCGGTGTAAATATCATCAGGCTGCATTACCTCCGTTCAGAAATTAATAACTGGGGATGTCTAATTCTGAAATCCTGTGTGTTTGGGTTGTTATAGATACTGCAACATCTATCAATCCATCTATCTATCTATCATCTATCTATCTAGATCTATACTCTGTGTGTGACATAAAATATGGATCTCCATCCCTGCCACAAAGGCCATCAAATAATGTTTAAAATTAAAAATACAGTAGTCCTATCATGAAAAAAGGTTCATTGTGCGACCTGAGTAACGCGCAGTAACGGGGTGTCTGCAATGATAATTGCAACTAGTTACAGTCAAAGTAATTAGTTAGATTACTCGTTACCTAAACAAGGTAACGGCGTTACTTTCAACGCTGTTAGTCCCATCACTGGCAATATGTGAAACCTTTGTGACCAAAAGCGGTAAGTTCTTACCAACGTATAGATCAGTGTAGACCTCCAGCTGAGTGTGTCCCAGCGCCGGCGTTGCTTTGACCTCTCTGTACTGACCGTCCAGTTGGAGCACAGCTTCTTTGATGTTCTTCTCAGCCTCCACACGGTGCCACTGGTCATCATTCAGAGGGTTTGGTGAATGGACCGTCAGCTCCATTTGCTTTCCCCCAAACTCAAAGGATAATACCAGCATTGAGCTTCCTGTGATTACAAAGCATCATTAGCTTTTCCATCTGCCGGCGTCTTAATAGTGTTTATTAAAAGATAACTCTAAAATATGGAACTTTTAGCACTGATAGCAAATGTTTAATCCTTAAAGCATTTTTGTTCACAAACATAAAATGAAACACTGCCAAAGACATTTGAGGCTAACAGATAATATGGGAGCAGCTGGCCTTCCATCTCTATTAACTTTAATGATGCTGTTTGAATCTGGAAGTCGACGTTTTAATCAACTGCAGCCTGAGTGGGAAACTGCAATAATAGACCAAAAGCACTTCCTTTAATTCAGGCTACAATCCAACTTTTTCTCTGCAGCATTAGGATCAGGGTTTCTACTGCGACGCACCTAAAAGACCAGGGTTTCTACTGCGACGCCCCTAAAAGATCAGGGTTTCTACTGCCACGCCCCTAAAAGATCAGGGTTTCTACTGCCACGCCCCTAAAGGATCAGGGTTTCTACTGCCACGCCCCTAAAGGATCAGGGTTTCTACTGCGACGCCCCTAAAAGATCAGGGTTTCTACTGCCACGCCCCTAAAAGATCAGGGTTTCTACTGCCACGCCCCTAAAAGATCAGGGTTTCTACTACCACGCCCTAAAGGACCAGGGTGTCTACTGCGACGCCCCTAAAAGACCAGGGTTTCTACTGCCACACCCTAAAGGATCAGGGTTTCTACTGCGACGCCCCTAAAAGACCAGGGTTTCTACTGCCACACCCTAAAGGACCAGGGTTTCTACTGCGACGCCCCTAAAAGACCAGGGTTTCTACTGCCACACCCTAAAGGACCAGGGTTTCTACTGCGACGCCCCTAAAAGACCAGGGTTTCTACTGCCACACCCTAAAGGATCAGGGTTTCTACTGCGACGCCCCTAAAAGACCAGGGTTTCTACTGCCACACCCTAAAGGACCAGGGTTTCTACTGCGACGCCCCTAAAAGACCAGGGTTTCTACTACCACACCCTAAAGGATCAGGGTTTCTACTGCGACGCCCCTAAAAGACCAGGGTTTCTACTGCCACACCCTAAAGGACCAGGGTTTCTACTGCCACACCCTAAAAGACCAGGGTTTCTACTACCACACCCTAAAGGACCAGGGTTTCTACTGCGACGCCCCTAAAAGACCAGGGTTTCTACTGCCACGCCCCTAAAAGATCAGGGTTTCTACTGCCACACCCTAAAGGATCAGGGTTTCTACTGCGACGCCCCTAAAAGACCAGGGTTTCTACTACCACGCCCTAAAGGACCAGGGTTTCTACTGCGACGCCCCTAAAAGACCAGGGTTTCTACTGCCACACCCTAAAGGATCAGGGTTTCTACTGCGACGCCCCTAAAAGATCAGGGTTTCTACTGCGACGCCCCTAAAGGATCAGGGTTTCTACTGCCACACCCTAAAGGATCAGGGTTTCTACTGCAACGCCCCTAAAAGACCAGGGTTTCTACTGCCACGCCCCTAAAGGATCAGGGTTTCTACTGCGACGCCCCTAAAAGATCAGGGTTTCTACTGCCACGCCCCTAAAAGATCAGGGTTTCTACTGCCACACCCTAAAAGATCAGGGTTTCTACTGCGACGCCCCTAAAGCATGAGGGTTTCTACTGCCACACCCTAAAGGATCAGGGTTTCTACTGCGACGCCCCTAAAAGATCAGGGTTTCTACTGCCACGCCCCTAAAGGATCAGGGTTTCTACTGCGACGCCCCTAAAAGATCAGGGTTTCTACTGCCACGCCCCTAAAAGATCAGGGTTTCTACTGCGACGCCCCTAAAGGATCAGGGTTTCTACTGCGACGCCCCTAAAGGATCAGGGTTTCTACTGCCACACCCTAAAGGATCAGGGTTTCTACTGCAACGCCCCTAAAAGACCAGGGTTTCTACTGCCACGCCCCTAAAGGATCAGGGTTTCTACTGCGACGCCCCTAAAAGATCAGGGTTTCTACTGCGACGCCCCTAAAAGATCAGGGTTTCTACTGCGACGCCCCTAAAGGATCAGGGTTTCTACTGCCACACCCTAAAGGATCAGGGTTTCTACTGCAACGCCCCTAAAAGACCAGGGTTTCTACTGCCACGCCCCTAAAGGATCAGGGTTTCTACTGCGACGCCCCTAAAAGATCAGGGTTTCTACTGCCACGCCCCTAAAAGATCAGGGTTTCTACTGCCACACCCTAAAAGATCAGGGTTTCTACTGCGACGCCCCTAAAGGATCAGGGTTTCTACTGCCACACCCTAAAGGATCAGGGTTTCTACTGCGACGCCCCTAAAAGACCAGGGTTTCTACTGCCACGCCCCTAAAGGATCAGGGTTTCTACTGCGACGCCCCTAAAAGATCAGGGTTTCTACTGCCACGCCCCTAAAAGATCAGGGTTTCTACTGCCACACCCTAAAGGATCAGGGTTTCTACTGCGACGCCCCTAAAAGATCAGGGTTTCTACTGCGACGCCCCTAAAGGATCAGGGTTTCTACTGCGACGCCCCTAAAAGATCAGGGTTTCTACTGCCACGCCCCTAAAAGATCAGGGTTTCTACTGCCACGCCCCTAAAGGACCAGGGTTTCTACTGCGACGCCCCTAAAAGACCAGGGTTTCTACTGCCACACCCTAAAGGATCAGGGTTTCTACTGCGACGCCCCTAAAGGATCAGGGTTTCTACTGCGACGCCCCTAAAAGATCAGGGTTTCTACTGCCACACCCTAAAGGATCAGGGTTTCTACTGCCACGCCCCTAAAAGATCAGGGTTTCTACTGCCACGCCCCTAAAAGATCAGGGTTTCTACTGCCACACCCTAAAGGATCAGGGTTTCTACTGCGACGCCCCTAAAAGATCAGGGTTTCTACTGCGACGCCCCTAAAGGATCAGGGTTTCTACTGCGACGCCCCTAAAAGATCAGGGTTTCTACTGCCACGCCCCTAAAAGATCAGGGTTTCTACTGCCACGCCCCTAAAGGACCAGGGTTTCTACTGCGACGCCCCTAAAAGACCAGGGTTTCTACTGCGACGCCCCTAAAGGATCAGGGTTTCTACTGCGACGCCCCTAAAGGACCAGGGTTTCTACTGCGACGCCCCTAAAAGACCAGGGTTTCTACTGCGACGCCCCTAAAAGACCAGGGTTTCTACTGCGACGCCCCTAAAAGACCAGGGTTTCTACTGCGACGCCCCTAAAAGACCAGGGTTTCTACTGCGACGCCCCTAAAGGACCAGGGTTTCTACTGCCACGCCCCTAAAGGACCAGGGTTTCTACTGCCACGGCCTAAAGGATCAGGGTTTCTACTGCGACGCCCCTAAAGGATCAGGGTTTCTACTGCGACGCCCCTAAAGGATCAGGGTTTCTACTGCCACGCCCTAAAGGATCAGGGTTTCTACTGCAACGCCCCTAAAGGATCAGGGTTTCTACTGCGACGCCCCTAAAAGATCAGGGTTTCTACTGCCACACCCTAAAGGATCAGGGTTTCTACTGCCACGCCCCTAAAGGACCAGGGTTTCTACTGCCACACCCTAAAGGACCACGGTTTCTACTACGTTGCCCCTAAAGGACCAGGGTTTCTACTGCCACGCCCCTAAAGGACCAGGGTTTCTACTGCCACGGCCCTAAAGGACCAGGGTTTTTACTGCCACACCGCTAAAAGACCAGGGTTTCTACTGCGACGCCCCTAAAGGACCAGGGTTTCTACTGCCACGCACCTAAAGGACCAGGGTTTCTACTGCCATGCCGCTAAAAGACCAGGGTTTCTACTGCGACGCCCCTAAAGGACCAGGGTTTCTAATGCCACACCCTAAAGGACCGGGGTTTCTACTGCGACGCCCCTAAAGGACCAGGGTTTCTACTGCAACACCCTAAAGGACCGGGGTTTCTACTGCGACGCCCCTAAAGGACCAGGGTTTCTACTGCCACGGCCTCAAAGGACCAGGGTTTCTACTGCCACGCCCCTAAAGGACCAGGGTTTCTACTGCCACGCCCCTAAAGGACCAGGGTTTCTACTGCCACGCCCCTAAAGGACCAGGGTTTCTACTGCCACGCCCCTAAAGGACCAGGGTTTCTACTGCCACGCCCCTAAAGGACCAGGGTTTCTACTTCCACGCCCCTAAAGGACCAGGGTTTCTACTGCCACGGCCTTAAAGGACCAGGGTTTCTACTGCGACGCCCCTAAAGGACCAGGGTTTCTACTGCCACGCCCCTAAAGGACCAGGGTTTCTACTGCGACGCCCCTAAAGGACCAGGGTTTCTACTGCCACGCCCCTAAAGGACCAGGGTTTCTACTGCCACGCCTCTAAAGGACCAAGGCTTCTACTGCCACGGCCTTAAAGGACCAAGGTTTCTACTGCCACGCTCCTAAAAGATCAGGGTTTCTACTGCCACACCCTTAAAGGACCAGGGTTTCTACTGCCACGCCCCTAAAGGATCAGGGTTTCTACTGCAATGGCCTTAAAGGACCAGGGTTTCTACTGCCACCCCCCTTAAGGATCAGGGTTTCTACTACGTCGCCCCTAAAGGATCAGGGTTTCTACTGCCACGCCCCTAAAGGACCAGGGTTTCTACTGCCACGCCCCTAAAGGACCAGGGTTTCTACTGCCACGCCCCTAAAGGACCAGGGTTTCTACTGCCACGCCCCTTAAGGATCAGGGTTTCTACTACGTCGCCCCTAAAGGACCAGGGTTTCTACTGCCACGCCCCTAAAGGACCAGGGTTTCTACTGCGACGCCCCTAAAGGACCAGGGTTTCTACTGCCACGCCCCTAAAGGACCAGGGTTTCTACTGCCACGCCCCTAAAGGACCAAGGCTTCTACTGCCACGGCCTTAAAGGACCAAGGTTTCTACTGCCACGCTCCTAAAAGATCAGGGTTTCTACTGCCACACCCTTAAAGGACCACGGTTTCTACTGCCACGCCCGTAAAGGACCAGGGTTTCTACTGCCACGCTCCTAAAAGATCAGCGTTTCTACTGCCACACCCTTAAAGGACCACGGTTTCTACTGCCACGCCCGTAAAGGACCAGGGTTTCTACTGCCACGCTCCTAAAAGATCAGCGTTTCTACTGCCACACCCTTAAAGGACCAGGGTTTCTACTGCCACGCCCCTAAAGGATCAGGGTTTCTACTGCAATGGCCTTAAAGGACCAGGGTTTCTACTGCCACGCCCCTTAAGGATCAGGGTTTCTACTACGTCACCCCTAAAGGACCAGGGTTTCTACTGCCACGCCACTAAAGGACCAGGGTTTCTACTGCCACGCCCCTAAAGGACCAGGGTTTCTACTGCCACGCCCCTAAAGGACCAGGGTTTCTACTGCCACGCCCCTAAAGGACCAGGGTTTCTACTGCCACGCCCCTAAAGGACCACGGTTTCTACTGCCACGCCCCTAAAGGACCAGGGTTTCTACTGCCACGCCCCTAAAGGATCAGGGTTTCTACTGCGAACCACCTTAAAGGACCAGGGTTTCTACTGCGAACCACCTTAAAGGAGTGCAAAAGCTTAGTTTATTCCCCTTCACAGGTTGATGATTTTGTTGATGGGGTTGCTAGTTCTCTGCGTACTGCCTTAGACAACGCAGCTCCTTTGAAAATGAAAACCATTAAAAATAGAAAGCTTGCTCCTTGGTTTAATGCAGAGCTGCGTACTTTGAAGCAAAATGCTAGGAAACTGGAGAGAAAATATCGCTCCACAGGCCTGCGGGAGTCCTTCCTAGTCTGGAAAAATAGTTTCCTGCTGTATAAGAGGACCCTTTGTAAAGCAAGAGCAGCATACTTCTCCTCATTAATAGAGGAGAATGAGAATAATCCTAGATTTCTTTTTAATCCAGTTGCCAAACTCACCCAGAGCCATAGCTCTGTTGAACCGTCCATTCCACCTGCTCTTAGCAGCAATGATTTTATGGGATTCTTTATAAATAAGATTGATCTTATTAAAAATAAGATCATAAGCACTCCTCTATCCGCGATTGTACCTGAGGTAGTCATGGAATCTGAACCGGGTTTAGACTGCTTTGATCCAGTTGAACTGTCTGAATTAGCAAAATTATTGTCTTCATCTAAGCCTTCAACTTGGATGTTAGATTCAGTTCCAACCAGGTTATTTAAGGAGGTATTCCCTTTGATCTCCTCCTCCATTTTAGATGTGATTAATCTATCTCTGTTACAGGGATATGTACCTAAAGCTTTTAAGGTTGCTGGAATTAAACCTCTGCTTAAGAAACCGTCTCTTGACCCAGATGACTTGGTCAATTATAGACCTATATCCAATCTTCCTTTCTGATCTAAAATTCTTGAGAAAGTAGTTTCCAAACAAGTGTGCGATCACTTCCACCATAATGAACTTTTTGAAGAGTTTCAGTCTGGCTTTAGAGCTCATCATAGCACTGAAACAGCTCTGGTGAAAGTCACTAATGATATTCTCATGGCCTCAGATAATGGACTTGTATCTGTGCTCGTCCTGTTGGATCTTAGTGCTGCATTTGATACAGTTGACCATAATATTCTTTTAGAAAGACTTGAATATTTTGTTGGAATTAAAGGAACAGCACTAGACTGGTTTAAATCTGATCTATCTGATCGATTTCAGTTTGTTCATGTTAATGATAGATCTTCCACATGCTCAAAGGTTACCTGTGGAGTACCACAGGGATCAGTGCTAGGACCAATTCTCTTTACTTTATACATGCTCCCAATCGGTAGAATTATTAGACAGCATGGGATTAATTTCCACTGTTATGCTGATGATACCCAGCTATATCTGTCTATAAATCCAGATGAAGCTAACCCATTACATAGATTACAGGCATGTCTGAAGACATAAAAACCTGGATGACTCTTAACTTTCTGCTTCTGAATGCAGACAAAACAGAAGTTATAGTCTTTGGACCAGAGTCTCTGAAAAAGAAGCTGATTAGCCAGTCACTTCATTTAGATGGGATTAAACTGATTTCAGATAATAAGGTAAAAAATCTTGGTGTTATTTTTGATCAGGACCTGTCATTTAAATCCCAGATCAAAGAGGTTTCTAGAATTTCCTTCTTTCATCTGAGGAACATTGCAAAAATTAGAAATCTCCTGTCCAGGGGTGATGCTGAGAGACTAGTCCACGCATTTGTTACTTGAAGGCTGGACTATTGTAATTCTTTACTATCAGGAAGTCCACAAACTGTAGTTAAAAGCCTTCAGCTGATCCAAAATGCTGCAGCCAGAGTTCTGATGGAAATGAAAAAGAGAGATCATATCTCTCCTATCCTGGCTTCTCTTCATTGGCTTCCTGTTAAATCCAGAATAGAATTTAAAATCCTCCTTCTCACATATAAAGCCTTAAATGGCCAAGCTCCATCTGATATCAGAGATCTGATTGTTCCTTATGTTCCTAACAGAGCACTTCGCTCTCAATCTGCAGGTTTACTAGTGGTTCCTAGAATTTCTAAAAGTAGAATGGGAGGCAGATCTTTTAGTTCTCAGGCTCCTCTCCTGTGGAACCAACTACCAGTTTTTAGTCCGTGAGGCAGACACCCTGTCTACTTTAAGGCTAGGCTTAAAACTTTCCTTTTTGATAAGGCTTCTAGTTAGAGTGGCTCAGGTGTTGTGAATTTGGCGCTATAGAAATAAACTGAATAGAATTGAATTGAAAGGACCAGTCTCTCTACTGTGACGGCGCTACTTTAGACGCCCTAAAGTTGCCCACTGATGTAGATGGTTGATAGTATTTTCTAGATCCACATTCAGAAACATGCTGAGACACAAACCTCTGATTTCAATATGAAGGAAGTTTTCTGCTCCTAGATTCTCCAGGAGGACTCCATGACTGGAGGAGGTCTTAAAGTAGAAGGAGATGTCGGTGCTGCTTTCACTTCGAAAGGACTTGAAGTGCAGCGAGGAGGCGGGGCTGGTGAAGGAGGCAGCATTCCAGAAGTTGCCTTCAGAAAACACAGCAGTAAAAAGTTGGGCTTCAGTCACTGTACTGCAGTAAGTTCATCTTCCTGCCATGATTGAAGGTCAAACGAAGCCTTTTACGCCCCAATGAGCCTCCAGCTCACTCTGCAGCCTCCATGCTGGATCAGAACAGGCTTCCCTCATCCTGCAGAGTCCTGCACCTTTCCAAAAGTTAAGACTTTTCAAGGACATTCCATGTTTGTTACATTTCCTAAAGATCAGGGGGAGAATAACGCAGTGTTACAGAGTCAGTAATGAAACCGACTGAGAGGAATGACGGAGCGGCGTCATGCCGTCCAGCTGATTCTAGTTTCTGTGACGTTAAAGCTGTTGTTTAGGTTCTAGATCAGGATCCTTTTTCTATTCACAGCCTGATCCTGCAGGTGCAGTGGAGGATGTTCCTGCCAGTCACGTCCGTCTACAGCAGTGGTCCCGCCTCCTGCCCTGCAGGATTCAGGTGTGTGAGCGTGCAGACGCTGCGAGCATCAGGGACAGTGGCAGCTCCAGCCTGGATGAGACGCTTTGTTCGGCAGAAGCTCCTCTCTGGTAGGAGCCGTTAAATCTGATGATGCAGCAGTTTGGTAAATATTATTATTCTATCTGACTTCCTGTCAATCAAACTGGGTTTTCCATCCAGACCAGGAAGTCTTTATAATCTCATTTTTACATTTCCTCCTGCTGATAAAACTCGTTTAAAGTCCAGATTTGTAAAGAGAGAACCAGATAACTTCTGCTTAACAAATATCTACCAAAGATTTGTCATTTTTGTAAATAATCGTCGTGCTTTTTTAGGTTTTAAAAGGAACTAAAAACCTTTGTAAAAAAAAACATTTTCTGACTAAAAAAAGGATAAAAAATATATATATTTGTTATATTTAGATGCAGTTTATCCTGGACATTTAGCAGTTAGCGGAGGGATGCTAACCAGCGTTTGTTGGTATATCTATTTTTCCAAAGACCAGCTGGTCATTTGAACCAGGGTAACCATGGCGACCCCTGACTCAGGCGGTACTGGGAGGCCTGTGTTCATCCTAATCTGGTGGAAATGCGGATTCAGAGAAACTTACGGTCCCCCTGGCATCTGAGAGGCCCAACAGTCAGTTTGGCTTCAGATCCAGCTCTGCTTGCATCACCGACCACGACCTTGCTGACTGGTAAATGCTCCTTATACACCAGCAGGCCTGCGTCCTCCTTCCTGTCACACAAACAGACGGAAACACAAACTAAATGATCTGAAACAAACCATCAGTAACACAGAAAAGAGTGATTAGTTATGATGTAATAAAGCTTTAAAAATAATGACCTCTGACCTTAACCCACAGTGACCAAACAAGCACCTGGAGCTGAATTTGATGCACCGAGTGAAACGATTCCTGAACACATTTATTTTTTAACTGAAACGGCGTCAGTTTACCTGGTTAAGTTTACCTGGTTAAGTTTAGCTGGATATCTGGACACACTCAGCAGGATAATCTCAGATTATTGTGGAGCCATCACCATAATCTGGGGGAGATTAGGCAAGAAGGCCGCAGGAAGCAGGCAATACTGCCCCCTACAGGACGCTGGACTCACCAGCTGCGCAGGTCAGCGTCGCAGTTGCAGTGGTGTTTGGCATCTGTGCAGTTGTTTCCTATTCCACAGGCACACTTCTGTATCCCAGGCCCCGAGCCCCCCCAGTAGAAATGCCGCTTGTTGTCTCGTCCCACCCACCAGGTGAATGGAGCGCCATCTAGGGGTCAAACCAAGAATCAATCATCTGTAGAGTCAGAACCAAACAAGAAGCAGCTCTGCCTGAATAAATAAACCGTCTAAAAGATTACCAAGAATAAAAACAGATTTAAACACTTTATTACTATTTAAAATGATAAAAGACCATAAAATTAAACTGACTAAAAGAAGAAATGAATCTAGAGCAGAAACTAATAATCATGATTAATCAATTAATTAATTTAGAGACGCTAAAGCATGCCTTTAGCTGACAGAGCAGGAATTATTCATCTGTCAGTCGGCTCCATCCAGAACTCACCAAAGTTTTAGTTTCAGCTTAATTTAGTAAATTAAGCATCGGCTATCTGATAATTAATCAATTAATCCAAAAAATGATCAGCAGATTAATCATTTTGCTAAATAATGGTTAGTTGATAATTGAATCCAAATAAAAGGAGGAATTTAAACGATCCAGTTTTTAATATAAAGTGTTTGAATCTAGAAGCGTTTCTGAATCTGATGGAGCCGAAACGTTTCCTCCAGTTAGAGCAGAGAAACTCTGTGATGAAACAACTAAAAATAACGTTTATTAGTTCACTAAAAGTCAGCAGTTATTCCTGAGCTGCACTAAGAGCCTCGTCATCATGGAAGGGAGACGCCATGATGGGGGCAGAACGCCGCACCTGGACCGCCGAGCAGGCGAGACATTCTGCAGGAATACGACACAAACTGCTCACAGCGTTCTGCTCTGCTGGTCAGCGACGCCACCTGGAACACAGGTATGCTTCCGTTAGAACACCTGCAGCGGAGAATGGCAGACCGCCCTCCAACAGGGAGGTCTGCCTGCAGAAGAAAGGGGGTCTGGGGGAACGGGGGGGCCTGTTGGGGTCAGCGGGGGAGCTGGCTCCCTGGTGCAGTCACACCCCCATCCCCGGAACCCTCCCTCTGCCTGCTCCATCACACATGTAGGTTTTTGGGGAGGGGGTCGCTACTGGAGGGCCCCACCTTCTGATGACGCCCCCCCCCCCCCCCCCCCCCCCCCCCCGATTTTATTTTGCATTTTAGACACTTCCATCTACAACATTTTCACAACACAAGGGCAACCGGGGTGGGCTTATTTTATGGGCCTCACCACGGTCGGCTCCCCCCCATCCCCTCTCGCATTTAGACGCTGAGGGTCCTGGGTTGTTGAATGGGGGGGTGCGCTGTCTCCCGGAGGGGGGGTGGGCTGTTCTGGACACCCCCTTTGGTCCTCCCAGTTTTAATGACATCTGAGAGCAACAGGCAACAACACCCCCATGGGAGGGGGCGCAGGGGGGATGGGGAGTAAAGAAAAAAAGAGAATAAAGGATTTATTCCATTAAAAAAAGAAAAGATGTTTTCTGATTGTAAAATAAAATGGAGGCTGTTTAAAGCTTCCGTTTCCTGATTGGTCCACCAATCCTGTCCCTCCTCCCTGTCTGAGGCATCAGCTATCTTTCTTCACCGCTTTCAACTCCTCCCAAAAAATGCTTTTTTTATTTCTCATGTTTTACAAAAACATGTTTCCTGGAAAAGTTCAGAGTTGTGAAAATGTTTTATTAAATGTGCATTTGAGCAAAATGCATCAGAAAAACCTCCATATTCTCCATAACTGATGATATAACATTGAATTCCATTAATAATAAGGACCATAATGGTTCTGGTTACTGGTTCAAACTGGTTCCATGACCCCAGATGGATGATGTGAGCAGCAGATACCTGATCTTCAGTGGCGTTGTAAAGGATCTGAAGCGCCGCTTTCCCGTTCCTCTCTACAGCAGAGACGGACGTCTGAGGAGGCAGGTTGTTCTTCAGCGTGCTCCAAACCGCTGCTTCTGAAACGGGACATGAAACGTGAGACGGAGGACGGGGAGCTCAACCAGCGCTGGACAGACTCACCTGTCATGTCACAGTGGACCCTGAGGGGGGCCATGGGGCCACTGCCATCAGGGTCGATCCAGTAGAGGCCCGAGCTCTTCCCCTGATGCCGGTACTCCTCACAGGACTGCTGATACAGGGCTGGAGAGAGGCAGAGGGTTACCGTGGCAACCGGGACACATGTCCAGGTTAGCACATTCCCATGACAACCGTTAGCTTAGCACATTCCCATGACAACCGTTAGCTTAGCCTGACAGGAAGAGCTTCATGGCTTCCTTCCTTCGCTGCCCCTCAAACTGACCTGCAGCAGACCTGGAATCAACCTGCATTCCTGCTTCAGCTGCTCTACCTTCTCACCTGCCTCAGCTGCTCCTCCTGAGATCGTCTGTTCGCCGCTCACTGACCCTGCCTCAGCGTCAGAGTTTTATTGACGTTTTTGTTCAGCTCTCGAGACATTTCCATTTCCTAAAGTGAAGCAGTGATCAAATGTAAACATTGGGAGCCAGGAGCTATGGGGGGTGGGGGGCGGTTGATGAGGTGATTGGCTGGAGCTGAATGAGGGTCATTGATTGACAGGTGACTCAGGTGAAGCTGGTAAATGAATCTGGTCTCCCAGATTGAATTTATACTAAAGCTTAATTTCCTTTAATAGGGTGGTGCAGTAAAGCTTCTGTCCTTCATTTTTTTCTTCATTTACTTTTATACTTTCAGTAGTTTTAAAAAATGGTGCTTTTACATTTTCACTAGAGTGAAAAGTTGAAGTTGATCCTCTACCTTCAAATAAAGTGCTTTTAAATAGCAGGATTTCTACCTGGATTCTGTAGCATAACCTCTTAAAACCCTTAAATGGGGGAATAATTCAGAATGCATAAAATTCCACCGGTAAAACTTTTACCAGCAGGTGGAGCCATTGCGCACAGATCCAAGCTGACACCAAAAGTTCAAAGCCAGACATCTCTGGAACTGTTAGAGGTCTGAAATGTTCTGCTTGTGTGGCTGACATGATGTGGAACAAATATAATACAATAAAACCTGCTTTTTCTCAAGAATGCCTTTATTACTGCTGTCCACAAAATGACTAGCTGGGCTGCATTTAGCTTTAGCTTCAGTTAGCTGGGCTGCACCAAGCTTTAGCTTCAGTTAGCTGGGCTGCACTTAGCTTCAGTTAGCTGGGCTGCACACCAAAAGTTCAAAGCCAGACATCTCTGGAACTGTTAGAGGTCTGAAATGTTCTGCTTGTGTGGCTGACATGATGTGGAACAAATATAATACAATAAAACCTGCTTTTTCTCAAGAATGCCTTTATTACTGCTGTCCACAAAATGACTAGCTGGGCTGCATTTAGCTTTAGCTTCAGTTAGCTGGGCTGCACCAAGCTTTAGCTTCAGTTAGCTGGGCTGCACTTAGCTTCAGTTAGCTGGGCTGCACTTAGCTTTAGCTTCGGTTAGCTGGGCTGCACTTAGCTTTAGCTTCGGTTAGCTGGGCTGTACTTTGCTTCGGTTAGCTGGGCTGCACTTAGCTTCAGTTAGCTGGGCTGCACTTAGCTTCAGCTTCAGTTAGCTGGGCTGCACTTAGCTTTAGCTTCGGTTAGCTGGGCTGTACTTTGCTTCGGTTAGCTGGGCTGCACTTAGCTTTAGCTTCAGTTAGCTGGGCTGCACTTAGCTTCAGCTTCAGTTAGCTGGGCTGCACTTAGCTTTAGCTTCAGTTAGCTGGGCTGCACTTAGCTTCGGTTAGCTGGGCCGCACTTAGCTTTAGCTTCAGTTAGCTGGGCTGCACTTAGCTTCGGTTAGCTGGGCTGCACTTAGCTTTAGCTTCAGTTAGCTGGGCTGCACTTAGCTTTGGTTAGCTGGGCTGCACTTAGCTTTAGCTTCAGTTAGCTGGGCTGCACCAAGCTTTAGCTTCAGTTAGCTGGGCTGCACTTAGCTTCAGTTACTTGGGCTGCACTTAGCTTTAGCTTCAGTTAGCTGGGCTGCACTTGGCTTCAGTTAGCTGGGCTGCACTTAGCTTTAGCTTCAGTTAGCTGGGCTGCACCAAGCTTTAGCTTCAGTTAGCTGGGCTGCACTTAGCTTCAGTTACTTGGGCTGCACTTAGCTTTAGCTTCAGTTAGCTGGGCTGCACTTAGCTTTAGCTTCGGTTAGCTGGGCTGCACTTAGCTTTAGCTTCGGTTAGCTGGGCTGTACTTTCCTTCGGTTAGCTGGGCTGCACTTAGCTTCAGTTAGCTGGGCTGCACTTAGCTTCAGCTTCAGTTAGCTGGGCTGCACTTAGCTTAAGCTTCGGTTAGCTGGGCTGTACTTTGCTTCGGTTAGCTGGGCTGCACTTAGCTTTAGCTTCAGTTAGCTGGGCTGCACTTGGCTTCAGTTAGCTGGGCTGCACTTAGCTTTAGCTTCAGTTAGCTGGGCTGCACTTAGCTTCGGTTAGCTGGGCCGCACTTAGCTTTAGCTTCAGTTAGCTGGGCTGCACTTAGCTTCGGTTAGCTGGGCTGCACTTAGCTTTAGCTTCAGTTAGCTGGGCTGCACTTGGCTTCAGTTAGCTGGGCTGCACTTAGCTTTAGCTTCAGTTAGCTGGGCTGCACTTAGCTTTGGTTAGCTGGGCTGCACTTAGCTTTAGCTTCAGTTAGCTGGGCTGCACCAAGCTTTAGCTTCAGTTAGCTGGGCTGCACTTAGCTTCAGTTACTTGGGCTGCACTTAGCTTTAGCTTCAGTTAGCTGGGCTGCACTTGGCTTCAGTTAGCTGGGCTGCACTTAGCTTTAGCTTCAGTTAGCTGGGCTGCACCAATCTTTAGCTTCAGTTAGCTGGGCTGCACTTAGCTTCAGTTACTTGGGCTGCACTTAGCTTTAGCTTCAGTTAGCTGGGCTGCACTTGGCTTCAGTTAGCTGGGCTGCACTTAGCTTTAGCTTCAGTTAGCTGGGCTGCACTTGGCTTCAGTTAGCTGGGCTGCACTTAGCTTCGGTTAGCTGGGCTGCACTTAGCTTTAGCTTCAGTTAGCTGGGCTGCAAATAGCTTTAGCTTCAGTTAGCTGGGCTGCACTTAGCTTTAGCTTCGGTTAGCTGGGCTGCACTTAGCTTTAGCTTCGGTTAGCTGGGCTGTACTTTGCTTCGGTTATGGGCTGCACTTAGCTTTAGCTTCAGTTAGCTGGGCTGCACTTGGCTTCAGTTAGCTGGGCTGCACTTAGCTTCGGTTAGCTGGGCTGCACTTAGCTTTAGCTTCAGTTAGCTGGGCTGCAAATAGCTTTAGCTTCAGTTAGCTGGGCTGCACTTAGCTTTAGCTTCAGTTAGCTGGGCTGCACTTAGCTTCAGTTAGCTGGGCTGCACACCAAAAGTTCAAAGCCAGACATCTCTGGAACTGTTAGAGGTCTGAAATGTTCTGCTTGTGTGGCTGACATGATGTGGAACAAATATAATACAATAAAACCTGCTTTTTCTCAAGAATGCCTTTATTACTACTGTCCACAAAATGACTAGCTGGGCTGCACTTAGCTTTAGCTTCAGTTAGCTGGGCTGCACCAAGCTTTAGCTTCAGTTAGCTGGGCTGCACTTAGCTTCAGTTACTTGGGCTGCACTTAGCTTTAGCTTCAGTTAGCTGGGCTGCACTTGGCTTCAGTTAGCTGGGCTGCACTTAGCTTTAGCTTCAGTTAGCTGGGCTGCACCAAGCTTTAGCTTCAGTTAGCTGGGCTGCACTTAGCTTCAGTTACTTGGGCTGCACTTAGCTTTAGCTTCAGTTAGCTGGGCTGCACTTGGCTTCAGTTAGCTGGGCTGCACTTAGCTTTAGCTTCAGTTAGCTGGGCTGCACTTGGCTTCAGTTAGCTGGGCTGCACTTAGCTTCGGTTAGCTGGGCTGCACTTAGCTTTAGCTTCAGTTAGCTGGGCTGCAAATAGCTTTAGCTTCAGTTAGCTGGGCTGCACTTAGCTTTAGCTTCGGTTAGCTGGGCTGCACTTAGCTTTAGCTTCGGTTAGCTGGGCTGTACTTTGCTTCGGTTATGGGCTGCACTTAGCTTTAGCTTCAGTTAGCTGGGCTGCACTTGGCTTCAGTTAGCTGGGCTGCACTTAGCTTCGGTTAGCTGGGCTGCACTTAGCTTTAGCTTCAGTTAGCTGGGCTGCACTTAGCTTCGGTTAGCTGGGCCGCACTTAGCTTTAGCTTCAGTTAGCTGGGCTGCACTTAGCTTCGGTTAGCTGGGCTGCACTTAGCTTTAGCTTCAGTTAGCTGGGCTGCACTTGGCTTCAGTTAGCTGGGCTGCACTTAGCTTTAGCTTCAGTTAGCTGGGCTGCACTTAGCTTTGGTTAGCTGGGCTGCACTTAGCTTTAGCTTCAGTTAGCTGGGCTGCACCAAGCTTTAGCTTCAGTTAGCTGGGCTGCACTTAGCTTCAGTTACTTGGGCTGCACTTAGCTTTAGCTTCAGTTAGCTGGGCTGCACTTGGCTTCAGTTAGCTGGGCTGCACTTAGCTTTAGCTTCAGTTAGCTGGGCTGCACCAAGCTTTAGCTTCAGTTAGCTGGGCTGCACTTAGCTTCAGTTACTTGGGCTGCACTTAGCTTTAGCTTCAGTTAGCTGGGCTGCACTTGGCTTCAGTTAGCTGGGCTGCACTTAGCTTTAGCTTCAGTTAGCTGGGCTGCACTTGGCTTCAGTTAGCTGGGCTGCACTTAGCTTCGGTTAGCTGGGCTGCACTTAGCTTTAGCTTCAGTTAGCTGGGCTGCAAATAGCTTTAGCTTCAGTTAGCTGGGCTGCACTTAGCTTTAGCTTCGGTTAGCTGGGCTGCACTTAGCTTTAGCTTCGGTTAGCTGGGCTGTACTTTGCTTCGGTTATGGGCTGCACTTAGCTTTAGCTTCAGTTAGCTGGGCTGCACTTGGCTTCAGTTAGCTGGGCTGCACTTAGCTTCGGTTAGCTGGGCTGCACTTAGCTTTAGTTAGCTGGGCTGCAAATAGCTTTAGCTTCAGTTAGCTGGGCTGCACTTAGCTTTAGCTTCAGTTAGCTGGGCTGCACTTAGCTTCAGTTAGCTGGGCTGCACACCAAAAGTTCAAAGCCAGACATCTCTGGAACTGTTAGAGGTCTGAAATGTTCTGCTTGTGTGGCTGACATGATGTGGAACAAATATAATACAATAAAACCTGCTTTTTCTCAAGAATGCCTTTATTACTACTGTCCACAAAATGACTAGCTGGGCTGCACTTAGCTTTAGCTTCAGTTAGCTGGGCTGCACCAAGCTTTAGCTTCAGTTAGCTGGGCTGCACTTAGCTTCAGTTAGCTGGGCTGCACTTAGCTTTAGCTTCAGTTAGCTGGGCTGCACTTGGCTTCAGTTAGCTGGGCTGCACTTAGCTTTAGCTTCAGTTAGCTGGGCTGCACTTGGCTTCAGTTAGCTGGGCTGCACTTAGCTTCGGTTAGCTGGGCTGCACTTAGCTTTAGCTGCAGTTAGCTGGGCTGCAAATAGCTTTAGCTTCAGTTAGCTGGGCTGCACTTAGCTTTAGCTTCGGTTAGCTGGGCTGCACTTAGCTTTAGCTTCGGTTAGCTGGGCTGTACTTTGCTTCGGTTATGGGCTGCACTTAGCTTTAGCTTCAGTTAGCTGGGCTGCACTTGGCTTCAGTTTGCTGGGCTGCACTTAGCTTTAGCTTCAGTTAGCTGGGCTGCACTTAGCTTCGGTTAGCTGGGCTGCACTTAGCTTCGGTTAGCTGGGCTGCACTTAGCTTTAGCTTCAGTTAGCTGGGCTGCACTTGGCTTCAGTTAGCTGGGCTGCACTTAGCTTTAGCTTCAGTTAGCTGGGCTGCACTTAGCTTCGGTTAGCTGGGCTGCACTTAGCTTTAGCTTCAGTTAGCTGGGCTGCACTTAGCTTCGGTTAGCTGGGCTGCACTTAGCTTTAGCTTCAGTTAGCTGGGCTGCACTTGGCTTCAGTTAGCTGGGCTGCACTTAGCTTCAGTTAGCTGGGCTGCAAATAGCTTTAGCTTCAGTTAGCTGGGCTGCACTTAGCTTTAGCTTCAGTTAGCTGGGCTGCACTTAGCTTCAGTTAGCTGGGCTGCACTTAGCTTTAGCTTAAGTTAGCTGGGCTGCACTTAGCTTTAGCTTCAGTTAGTTGGGCTGCACTTAGCTTCAGTTAGCTGGGCTGCACTTAGCTTTAGCTTCAGTTAGCTGGGCTGCACTTAGCTTTAGCTTAAGTTAGCTGGGCTGCACTTAGCTTTAGCTTCAGTTAGTTGGGCTGCACTTAGCTTCAGTTAGCTGGGCTGCACTTAGCTTTAGCTTCAGTTAGCTGGGCTGCACTTAGCTTTAGCTTAAGTTAGCTGGGCTGCACTTAGCTTTAGCTTCAGTTAGCTGGGCTGCACTTAGCTTCAGTTAGCTGGGCTGCACTTAGCTTTAGCTTCAGTTAGCTGGGCTGCACTTAGCTTCAGTTAGCTGGGCTGCACTTAGCTTTAGTTTCAGTTAGCTGGACTGCACTTAGCTTCATTGCAGTCAGGAATGTAAAGGTCAGCTGTTTTCCTCAGGACCCCATTTTCTTCTGTTGCCTCACTGCTAATCTGAACATAACTTTTAGGAATAAACTGGATTAGATTATGACATAAACATCATATCCATCATGTGGAAGAGCACTTTTCTCCTGTCTGCAACACCACCGGCTCAGAGAATCGAAGGTTTGATCATAAATATCAATATGTAAAGTTAGGACTTTCTATGAACTCCTAATCCTGCCTGATATCAAATTAAAAATAAAGGCCATGACTCCCTATAAATAAACTTTAAAGCCTGTAAATGAAAGCAGGGTTCACCATTAGAGTTCCTGGCGTAGGCCTGTCTGTCTGAGTGATCAGAGTTTTTATACTGACTCGGTTTATGGTGAGGGAAGCACGGTAGTGGCTCCCTGTGCAGCCGGGGGAAGGCCACTGCCATGGATGGAGGAACACTTACAGGTGTGGCATGTTGCTCCGGTGTAGCCGGTCCCACTGCAGTTACAGCTGAAGGTCTCCCACGTCTGGGAGCATCTCCCACCATGTTCACAGTGGTTGGGCACGCATCTGTCATCACACGGCAGCAGGAAGAAACGTCAACTTTTCCCGCCGTAACGCCGGCTAACAGAGAAAACCAGACGATCGGGTCCTAAAGCGGCTGCATACCTGTCTATGATAGCACACATGTCCAAGCTAACGTTTTCAAAGGTTCCCAGGTGACCTTCCTCCACGGCCCGCAGGTCCACCAGGTGGTCATCAATGTGGATCATCTGGATGCAGCCCTGGAAGGAGCGCTGCAGCGAGCCGCCGTTAGCCGCGGCGAAGAAGCCTGGAGGCAACGGGACGGAGAACACATCATCAGTCAGGGAGGGAACATCCAACAAACGAATATCCAACCGGAACATCCGACCGTCCCACGGAACATCCAACCGTCCTACAGAACATCCAACCGTCCCACAGAACATCCGACCGTCCCACAGAACATCCGACCGTCCCACAGAACATCCGACCGTCCTACGGAACATCGGACCGTCCCACAGAACATCCAACCGTCCCACAGAACATCCGACCGTCCTACGGAACATCCGACCGTCCCACGGAACATCCAACCGTCCTACAGAACATCCAACCGTCCCACAGAACATCCGACCGTCCCACAGAACATCCGACCGTCCCACAGAACATCCGACCGTCCTACGGAACATCGGACCGTCCCACAGAACATCCGACTGTCCCACAGAACATCCGACCGTCCTACGGAACATCCGACCGTCCCACGGAACATCCAACCGTCCTACAGAACATCCAACCGTCCTACAGAACATCCAACCGTCCCACAGAACATCCGACCGTCCCACAGAACATCCGACCGTCCTACGGAACATCGGACCGTCCCACAGAACATCCGACCGTCCCACAGAACATCCGACCGTCCCACAGAACATCCGACCGTCCTACGGAACATCGGACCGTCCCACAGAACATCGGACCGTCCCACAGAACATCCGACCGTCCCACAGAACATCCGACCGTCCTACGGAACATCGGACCGTCCCACAGAACATCCGACCGTCCCACAGAACATCCGACCGTCCCACAGAACATCCGACCGTCCTACGGAACATCGGACCGTCCCACGGAACATCCGACCATCCCACGGAACATCTGACCGTCCCACAGAACATCCGACCGTCCCACAGAACATCCGACCGTCCTACGGAACATCGGACCGTCCCACAGAACATCCAACCGTCCCACGGAACATCTGACCGTCCCACAGAACATCCGACCGTCCCACAGAACATCCAACCGTCCCAGAACATCGTCCGACCATCCCACGGAACATCCGACCATCCCACGGAACATCCCACCGCCCCACTGAACATCCAACCGTCCCAGGGAACATCCCACGGAACATCCGACCGTCCCACAGAACATCCGACCGTCCCACTGAACATCCAACCGTCCCAGGGAACATCCCACGGAACATCCGACCGTCCCACAGAACATCCGACCGTCCCACAGAACATCCGACCGTCCCACGGAACATCCGACCATCCCAGGGAACATCTGACCGTCCCACGGAACATCTGACCGTCCCACGGAACATCTGACCGTCCCACAGAACATCCAACCGTCCCAGGGAACATCCCACGGAACATCCGACCGTCCCACAGAACATCCGACCGTCCCACAGAACATCCGACCGTCCCACGGAACATCCGACCATCCCAGGGAACATCTGACCGTCCCACGGAACATCTGACCGTCCCACGGAACATCCGACCATCCCAGGGAACATCCGACCATCCCACGGAACATCTGACCGTCCCACGGAACATCTGACCGTCCCACAGAACATCCAACCGTCCCACGGAACATCTGACCGTCCCAGGGAACATCCCACGGAACATCCGACCGTCCCACAGAACATCCGACCGTCCCACAGAACATCCGACCGTCCTACGGAACATCGGACCGTCCCACAGAACATCCGACCGTCCCACAGAACATCCGACCGTCCTACGGAACATCGGACCGTCCCACGGAACATCCGACCATCCCACGGAACATCCCACCGTCCCACAGAACATCCAACCGTCCCACGGAACATCTGACCGTCCCACAGAACATCCGACCGTCCCACAGAACATCCAACCGTCCCACGGAACATCTGACCGTCCCACAGAACATCCGACCGTCCCACAGAACATCCGACCGTCCCACAGAACATCCGACCGTCCCACAGAACATCTGACCGTCCCACAGAACATCCGACCATCCCACGGAACATCCGACCATCCCACGGAACATCCCACCGCCCCACTGAACATCCAACCGTCCCAGGGAACATCCCACGGAACATCCGACCGTCCCACAGAACATCCGACCGTCCCACTGAACATCCAACCGTGCCAGGGAACATCCCACGGAACATCCAACCGTCCCACAGAACATCCGACCGTCCCACAGAACATCCGACCGTCCCACGGAACATCCGACCATCCCAGGGAACATCTGACCGTCCCACGGAACATCTGACCGTCCCACGGAACATCTGACCGTCCCACAGAACATCCAACCGTCCCAGGGAACATCCCACGGAACATCCGACCGTCCCACAGAACATCCGACCGTCCCACAGAACATCCGACCGTCCCACGGAACATCCGACCATCCCAGGGAACATCTGACCGTCCCACGGAACATCTGACCGTCCCACGGAACATCCGACCATCCCAGGGAACATCCGACCATCCCACGGAACATCTGACCGTCCCACGGAACATCTGACCGTCCCACAGAACATCCAACCGTCCCACGGAACATCTGACCGTCCCAGGGAACATCCCACGGAACATCCGACCGTCCCACAGAACATCCGACCGTCCCACAGAACATCCGACCGTCCCACAGAACATCTGACCGTCCCACAGAACATCCGACCGTCCCACGGAACATCCGACCGTCCCACGGAACATCCGACCATCCCAGGGAACATCCGACCATCCCACGGAACATCTGACCGTCCCACGGAACATCTGACCGTCCCACAGAACATCCAACCGTCCCACGGAACATCTGACCGTCCCAGGGAACATCCCACGGAACATCCGACCGTCCCACAGAACATCCGACCGTCCCACAGAACATCCAACCGTCCCACAGAACATCTGACCGTCCCACAGAACATCCGACCGTCCCACGGAACATCCGACCATCCCACGGAACATCCCACCGCCCCACTGAACATCCAACCGTCCCACGGAACATCTGACCGTCCCACAGAACATCCGACCGTCCCACGGAACATCTGACCGTCCCACGGAACATCTGACCGTCCCACAGAACATCCAACCGTCCCACGGAACATCTGACCGTCCCAGGGAACATCCCACGGAACATCCGACCGTCCCACAGAACATCCGACCGTCCCACAGAACATCCGACCGTCCCACGGAACATCCGACCGTCCCACGGAACATCCCACCGTCCCACTGAACATCCAACCGTCCCACGGAACATCTGACCGTCCCACAGAACATCCGACCGTCCCACAGAACATGCGACCGTCCCACAGAACATCCGACCGTCCCACGGAACATCCGACCATCCCACGGAACATCCCACCGTCCCAGGGAACATCCCACGGAACATCCGACCGTCCCACAGAACATCCGACCGTCCCACAGAACATCCAACCGTCCCACGGAACATCCGACCATCCCACGGAACATCCCACCGTCCCACTGAACATCCAACCGTCCCACGGAACATCTGACCGTCCCACAGAACATCCGACCGTCCCACGGAACATCTGACCGTCCCACAGAACATCCGACCGTCCCACGGAACATCTGACCGTCCCACAGAACATCCGACCGTCCCACGGAACATCTGACCGTCCCACAGAACATCCGACCGTCCCACGGAACATCCGACCATCCCACGGAACATCCCACCGTCCCACTGAACATCCAACCGTCCCACGGAACATCTGACCGTCCCACAGAACATCCGACCGTCCCACGGAACATCCGACATTGAAGAGCTTTTTAACCTCATCCTGAAGACAAGCTTTAGATTAAATTCTGCATCTTATTATTAGAAGAAGCTGCAAACTATTTTTAGGTCGTTTTTGTTGGTGACTGAAAATGTTTCATCCTTGTTCTTCAGTCTATGTTCTATAGATCTGCACTAAGCTTCTAACTGCTCATCACAGTTCATCTGGAGGTTTCTTCCTGTTAAAGGGGAGTTTCTGCTGAGCGTGAGGGATTGCTGTGAGCCAACCACACGTAGGATTGGAAGCAATCAGCTGGTTTTCCTGAGAAAAGTTAAACCTTTAATCTGACTGGATGATCTGGTTGGTCTGGATCTAGAGACTGACCCAGGATGACTATAGAAATAAGGAGAAGAGAATCCATCACCTCCAAAGTAGTAGGTTCCTCCGGTCTTGATCTGGGCAGGAATGGCCGTCCTCACGGTGGACGCCTCGTCCCCATCCACTGTCAGCATGGCGTAGTTGTCCAGAGCGTTCAAATGGACGCTGTGCCATTGGCCGTCGTTCAGACCTAAACCTTCAGAAGAAAAAGACTTTTCACCATCAGAACCAAAAACAAAGGTCTCAATCAAAACCAGTCCTGCAAAGGATTATGGGGAATATTTCTGGCTCTGTGTGGCTTTATCATCAAATAAAGAAGGATGCTGGTTTCCATGGTGACTGGAGGGGTCCCTGTCCTCGCTGCTCCAGGAAAGGTGGACTCACCTGATGAAATGTCCACCCTGGTGCTCCTCTTCTGGGTCACGTTTATGTAGACCGTCACCTTGCCCTCCATCAGCCCCAGCTCCAGCCACCCCTCGGCCAGCTGGGTGAACATCAGCACCCCGTTGGGGTTCCACGTCCTGAAGGACAGGCTAACTGAGAGCGTGTCGCTGTCCCTCTGACCCGGCAGCCGCAGGAAGGACGACCAATTAAAGTAGACGGGGAAGTAGGTGGACTCGGCACAGGTGAACGTCAGGTTCCGCTGCAGAGGAACACCACACACTCTTTAAAGGCTGTGATCTCTGTCACTATTATTTCCTGGGTGTCTGGCAGGTGACGGCGGGTTAGCTGACATCCGCCGTCCCCCAGCTAAAGCTAACGCCACTACAGGAAGTGCTCCAGATTCTGAGCTCAGACTTTAGGTCTGGATCCTGTCAGTCCAAACAAGAATGATTAAAAACCACCATCTTCTCTCTCTCTGCTGTAAGAGGTCCAACGTTCAACATGAACCACAGAAGAAGAAGAAGAAGAAGAAGAAGAAGAAGAAGAAGAAGAAGAAGAAGAAGAAGAAGAAGAACTCTTACGAAGCTGGAGGTGTCCACCTTCCTCCTGCGCACCAGGCTGGT